GTGTCCAGGTTATGACACTTCAGTGACCAGTCCGATTGTCATACTACCGTGTCCAGGTTATGACATTGCAGTGACCGGTCGGATTGTGATACTACCGTGTCCAGGCTATGACATTACAGTGACGGGCGGAGTGTCAGACTGCCGTGTCCAGTCTATGACATTTCAGTGACCGGTCGGATTGTGATACTACCTTGTCCAGATGCGGATATTTCAGTGAGATAAAACTTAAGATTTACCATTGAGTAGGTATCATCTGAGGACATCGTCTATATGTGAACTTCTAAAAAAACGTAATTGTAACTTCAGATATGACAAAGCTTGCGTCATTCTTACTTTTGTGTTAACAGAACATCTTGTAGTGTATTTCTTGCCTTAATACTCTGTTTAGAACATACACACGGTTCACGGTGATGTTGACGTTTTTTGTGCAATGCATTTTTTTCAGCACTGAAATAAATTTGATAGAGGTTGTTCAAGCTATGCATTGATTTGCCTGATGAAAACTCTTTTGTTTCGTTCATATAAAGCAGCACCATCACAAAATCAAGATGGCAATTGTAAGGATGTATCATAAGCAGCCTTCTTGAGGTTGGCTACGGCCAATTCAGATCTCTATATCTGTCTCGAATCGTGGTATCAAGTTGCCTCCTAGTCACACAACTCTCACCTAGTTGCTCACGATTTCGTTGTAATAGAACATAATTAGATGTGAATACCTGGCTATCATTGCAGTAAGCATCGTCATTACGCACGTGTCGGCATGAGCATGTAAACACTTCGGCTCCCACTCAATGGAAAACTATTTTTCATATGTGTGGGTAGCAATGTTTCTCATAGTTAATTGGATGCGTTTTACTACAAAAGCTAATATATAAACGCGATTGTTGAGTATATGATGTCTGTCATCTTGACCTTTAAATAAAGCAGCATATCTTAAAGAATTGCTGCCAACCATCTTCCCCTCGTATACAACCTTATTCTCCTTAAACAAACTTAAGCTTTAAAAATTAGTTTCAATATCCGGTCGAATCGACGTTCAATTCAAATCCTCAATACACATCCACTTCAGCCTTCTGATATCGATAACTAATTCTTGATCGAAATTTTGACAAATGAAAATTGTTGACGCATTTCTAATGCAATTGGGTTGGGGGTACAGTCCAGCTACCGGAATTAGAAAGTTGGTAACCAAGGAAACGACAGGAGATGAGAAAAACGTTAGTTTTCCATCATATCATATTTTCAGAGAAAATGTTTAAGAAAATAGGTTTTCGAAAGACTATTCCTAGGAGGACTTTTCATAGAAGTCTATATGATATTTTGGTGTGATCAGATCTGAAAAATAATGTTCAGAATAATTTTCATTGCAGTGTTAATATCATTATATTTTGGAACAAAAGTCTATTGTGAATTCGACATTCCCGATATAAGATTAAATACCATTATATACTCATAAAGAACAAAAGTTGGTTTCGAAATATCCTTTCCCCCACGAAATTAAGAGAAAAGAACAGCTAGGCATAATTTTCCTTATATATTTTGTTTGCACTCAAAGTACACAGAATAAGGATGACGAAACTATTGAAATCAGCATCCAACACCCTATTTCATAGGTAAGCGTGCAGCAAAAAATAAGGAAAGATCATCATGAACGGGTACCAATACCAACAGAGGAAAAGGCTGATTGTATTTGGCGGGATGAGAGTAGCCACCTGGTCAGGTGTGTATTAAGCTGCCCTAGTACATTAATTGTTTAAACACTCTCAATACTGCCAATCCCTTGTGGACCAGATCTTAATGACATGAGATAATGTCAAATATTGACAGTATTGATGTGATGTCGATGACTCATGCACGTGAGGTATTGTTTCTGTCAGTAATAATGACGTAGAGCACGTGCATGTAACACCTTTAACAATGGATCGTCTGCTTCCTACACAAAGTGATATAATTATACACATCCAGTTCCACGCTTATACCTATAAATCATCTTACCCGTGCTCGTCACGTTAAATTCACTTATTGTCTCGCCAAACTGATTTCAATATCGTTGTAATTAAGACCTACTCCCACACGTATGTGATTTATGGTCTTTTACAAACAAAATGTTTATCAAGTTGGGTGAATCTACTTGTCAGAGATACGGTGTACATAATGGTTTAGGATGTGATCGATGGTTGTATATAGGAATATGGAGGGAACTAACATGTACTCCACACCTTGGTGCTATTACGGTTTGCGAATAGTATGAATTATTAACCCGACTGTGACCTTGACCGGGCAATAACGGGTCTATACTCGGATCGGTCGTTGTGTGAGGCGTCACGGGTGACCAAGGAACCTTGTTGAAAATATTTGTCATTTAACCAAAGTTTGATACTTGCTCTGAATCAGGAATCGTGTCCAGCCAAAGTGTAACGATAGCCGGAAATGACCAAACACTTAATTGAACTTAATTAATAACTCAATTTTATGTTCATAAGTGTACCGCGGTAGATTTCTTAAATTACACTTTTCATTACCTTTGTAATCAGCAATATAGCATGGTACGCATTTATACTGTAACTCTTTATCACCTTTTGAGCATCACACTTTTGCATTCCAAAGTAAACAACGGTACACAATTGATATAAAAAGTAATTAAAGATATACCACACAAAAGTGTACAAAGGCACATTTTATTTATACGTTTCTCTGAGAGATATTATGATTGTTCGTACAATCATCCTTAAAAACGGTTTTGTAAAATAAAGATTAAATAAGAAACACTAAATTCATAGGAATCTCCGTTTCAGGCTTATGTAAAAGTTGAAAAGATCAATTACCCATGCTACCCATACAAACATCTTAAAACTTAACGAACGAAGTACTAATGGTAAAAACCAGACATCGTTTGTTTAATCAATCACAATTAACAATGATCCTTTCAATCAAATCACAATGTCAGAACATACCAGACTTCAAACATCCATTTGGTCACAGCTGATACCCATATTCTGAAAATACCTAACATTTTCCCCAAATTGGCAAATGTCTGAATACATTCGCCTTCCAACTTTATTTTTGAAATCACCCAATTGAATCACAACTAACGCCATACTTTGAAAACATCCTGTTCAGCCACAGCTTAATCCAGCATCCTGAAAACACCCAACAGCTTACTCCAAAGCATGAAAACACCCAACAACTTACTCCAAAGTATGAAAACACCCAATAGCTTACTCCTAAGTACGAAAACACCCAACAACTTACTCCAAAGTATGAAAACACCCAACAGCTTACTCCAAAGTATGAACACATCTACCTGTCAATGTTATTCTATAACGGCTACCCTATAACTCAAAATCACTCAATGATATTCTATAACGGCTACCTTATAACTCAAAATCACTCAATGTTATTCTATAACGGCTACCCTATAACTCAAAATCACTCAATGTTATTCTATAACGGCTACCCTATAACTCAAAATTACTCAATTTTATTCTATTACGGCTACCCTATCACTCAAAATCATCCAATGTTATTCTATAACGGCTACCCTATAACTCAAAATCACTCAATGTTATTCTATAACGGCTACCCTATAACTCAAAACCACTCAATGTTATTCTATAACGGCTACCCTATAACTCAAAATTACTCAATTTTATTCTATTACGGCTACCCTATCACTCAAAATCATCCAATGTTATTCTATAACGGCTACCCTATAACTCAAAATCACTCAATGTTATTCTATAACGGCTACCCTATAACTCAAAACCACTCAATGTTATTCTATAACGGCTACCCTATAACTCAAAATCACTCAATGTTATTCTATAACGGCTACCCTATAACTCAAAATCACTCGATTTTATCACAGCTAGCCCCATACTCTTGAAGCACCTTATCAATCACAGTTAACCTCAAAGTCTGAAAACAGAAGACTTTCAACATTCATCTAACCTTCGCTAACTCCATATCCTGAAAATACCTGATTTAATCACAGCTAAACCCAAGCTCTCAACATTCCCCCTACCGTAGCTGATCCGCCCTGAAATCATCAGTCTTACAATCTTAATTCTTAATCCGCCTAAAAGTTGATACGTTTATAAATTCTTATTGTGACAAAGGTTTTCTCTTTATATGTGTTATAATTAGATTAACAGATGTGAAATTATACGCTCTTTTTATCAAATCTTACTATTTTGAGCGTATTTTAAAACAGATAGAATATTTCATCTGCGAAAAACAATTCTTTGAGCAGAATATCGAGGGTCAAACTTGATACTCTTTACATATGTAAATATGTTACAGAAACGTCCTTTATTACCAATTACGGAACAATACGTCATGTTGATGAGCGCTTAACCCGATCTAGGATGAGGGGTATGTTGTTTTCAATCTCGCGAGAATAATGACAAATATGAGTGCCTCTTGTAACGCCGGTCACTTAGTTTTAGTGGCCGATTATAAAGGTCGGGATCATATGGCTGTTCCTATCTTACACACCGAAATTATCAAAATAGGATTACGGAAACAGTGTACACTCTACAACGAAAGAAATACTTTCAATCCACAAAAAGTATATAACCAATTCTATAATTATTTCTTTACGATAAACGTCTTATTGTTGTGTCACTAATCGATACCAAACAATATCAATGTTCACATCAGAATTGTTCATTTACATTGTCTTGTAGGCAAGCTTCTTATGTTACCGTAATACCTATCAATGTCTCGGTATAAAGCCGAACCAAGTCACACACAAACGTATTCGATCTTGCATGCCGAATTACTGCAAAATAAAAATAAAACCTGAAGGACTAGAGTATAAGGCTAAGGAAACAGAACAAAAAGCACAAAAGTAAATCAAGACAACCCAAACGCATAGTTAGAACTAAGGTCATTATTTGTCATGATAAAATCCTAAATCGAAATTAGAAATCATCACTTTAAACATGAAACAATCGTCCGTACCTTTTTATAAATGAAATGTAAATATGTGTACTCACTTTTGGTTGAGAGGTGTTACGTATCCGGGTCAGAATCTCTGATAATCTCCTGTATTCTCCGCCTGGTATAGTATTGTAATGGCACCACATGCAGCCAGATTATATACGCTAATACATAGCCGTTCAAGGCGTGACAAAGGTCACGAATCAGGTCAAATGTTTAGCACGTGGGACGAAATGTTATATTTGCTCATTAAATAAATATATAGTGTCGAAACAAACATATACATAGCGATTTATCATTAATTTTATTTGTTCAGAGAATGCAAATTCAGAAATGCATTATTGTAATCGCAATTGAAGCTATTAGTTGTTCTATAGACATGTTTGAAATGTAACTCCCATATGTTGGAGATGCTGATTGTTGGAGACGTGAACACATCACGGTCTCCAGTCAACGAGCGACATTTGACGCCGATATTAAATCTGGCTTGTCGAACGTCTGGCCAGTACGATTTCCGTCACAGGTCTCTGTGACAAAGGAAGGTGTCGTAATCCACTGATTAACTTGCGACATGCCATATTTGGACATGGTCAGCTTTCTCCGTGTCCAAAATAACACATACATTGATTGTGTATCTCATGTAATGTAAGATCCTCTTACGATCACAGTGAACGTTCCTCCTACGATCACAGTGAACGTTCCTCTTTCGGACAGTTTTCATTTACAAACAGGATTTATTTGATTAGCAACAAATCTTGTTCGGTTACTCAAAAAATTATTATGTTCTTTTTCTCAGAGACCAAAATGACCCCACTATCGAATTTCCACTGTACAAATATAAGAGTAGATTGTAGATTTTGTTTGCATTATTAATGATAAAAAAATAGTTTCGTCTCCGCTATTACCTATATATATACATAATTATTTTAGAAATAAAGGGTTTTCGCCGAAATCCCGAAAAAGAAATTAGTGTTTTAACAATTAAGCCAAGACGCCTTTTCATAAGAAAATCCAAAAATATCGATAAGAGAGTACAATGTACGCATAATAAATAAAACAGTGGATGTATTTTTAATAAGAAAGAGTATATTTATTAATATGATGTACGTGTATATTAAATATGAGAGCATGTTAAGCTTCATGATATTGTGTGTGTACATTAATGGACGGTTGCGTTTATTTAGTAAAACAATGGATTTATTATTTTCATTAACAAATATAACCGAGAGAAAAAAATAGTACACACGATAGAAATGATAGCTATGGTGGCATATTTCTGCCATCCACTTGCGACTTACGAGTTACGTATGTCGACATAATTATTGAAAGATGTCGACATAATCTGAGAATATGTCGACATAATCTGAGAAGATGTCGACATAACTGTTAAATTATGTCGACATATTATCACATTTGCCGAGATAATTTTGCCGAGATAATTATCTCGTAAGTGGGTAACTCGGCTTTTTATCGTGTTAATGCTCGGGTGTGACATCGACTTGCCACTTACGACTTGCCACTTACGACTTATTTATGTCGACATCCTAGTAGATTATTGCCGACTTACCAAAACGAGGCTTGTGCACGAGGACCGCGAAGGTGGGCTGATGGTGACTGAACAGTGGTGACTATACTGGTGAGTAACTTGGTAAAATCAATGTAAATATGGGAAATCAAAGATATGGATATTACAGTAGGTTACTATGATGTACAGAGTTTATCAATCAAAGAGGGATTTTACATAAATAAGTCGTAAGTGGCAAGTCGTAAGTCGATGTCACACCCGAGCATTAACACGATAAAAAGCCGAGTTACCCACTTACGAGATAATTATCTCGGCAAAATTATCTCGGCAAATGTGATAATATGTCGACATAATTTAAAAGTTATGTCGACATCTTCTCAGATTATGTCGACATATTCTCAGATTATGTCGACATCTTTCAATAATTATGTCGACATACGTAACTCGTAAGTCGCAAGTGGATGGCAGAAATATGCCACCATAGATAGCAGACACTGCTTAGGACATGGTCATAAATCTAATATATGAACTTCATCTGTCAAATCAATAATAATTCCGGGGGCGGGCCACACCTTTGTCATGAAACACAAAAACGTTGCTAGTCTACAGAGCTTCATATAACATCATTTAAACCAACGCCTGCGCAAATCAGTATACCAGCACCATTATATCAAGTTTTGTTTTCTATTTTAAGAAGGGGAGAATATGTTTTCTATTAAAGAGGAGCCTTATATTCACTTTAATGAGAGGAATTACACATATATGGCATGATAATACAGCGTATACTGCTTACAACCGAACAGCATTACATCTACTGTTTTACTGTATATATCCATTATCATGATATCACTGTTATACTGTATAAAACAGCAAACATTGTTTTACTTTCTATCAACGAGGGGCATTATATGTAGGTTTTACTGTAATGACCTAGCATAATGTGGGAGCAAAGTCCAGTCTCTTTATGTGTGGAAATGCTCTCGTGAGCGCGTTTGATACTAGTTGGATTTGTCATCGATAACCTTGTACTTACCTGTTTGACTTTGTAAAGATAACCTTGTACTTACACCTGTCAGCAGTGTATCCGTGACAGCCGGCTGCTGACAGGTATAAGATAACATATCTGATTGTATGTGACATCATCAGGGTACGTGCTAAATAAAGCTATCGTCGTCAATATCTTACACCTATATAAAACCCTACGCTTAAAGTATAACACCATCACCACTGATCGGCGGATGTGGGATGTTTGACCAAAGCTACCTATTGCGGCTTAAAAACGTAATTATGATGTGCAAAATAGAAACAAAACTATAGGTTATTTATTTCTAACCGTTGTAGAAATGACAAACAGCTGAGGGTTCGGATGAATTTTATCTGACAGTATCAACATTTCATGTGCACATTGTTTGAAATATTTTGTTGTGTAAAACGGATTAAAATATGGGCTTAAGTCTGAAACTGGCGGTGATTCCGTGCAGACATTGCTTCGAAATTGCCACGCGTGATTTTCTGACCGAGCTCAATCGAGGAACAGAATAACGTTTGAATACATTTGATATCGACAACTGTTTGGTATTTGTACAAATTACATAGTACAAAAGTAATAATTTCCCGGTCGCAATATACACATATGTTACTGTACTCACAAAAACATCATATAATCATGGAGTCCCAGAAAGGACCTAGCCTAAATTCCATATCTTATTTCGATCGTTCATTTGCATCGACTAATGTTTGTTCATTCTTAATTAGATTCTTCATTATCCATTCGTTCTTTCGATCTGTTATTCATTCCTTCCTTCGTTTCTTCCGTTCTTCCTTTGTCATTTATCACTCGTTCGTTTGTTTGTGAACAGTTTACATACGTGTTTGACTAACATTTTTGGAATCGGATTTTCAAAATATAGATAACATATCATTTAAAAATACTTGACTTTTGCCGGTTAATCCGTGATCTTACCGTAAGTGTGACCTGCGTTCATATAAACCACGTGATATTCGCCGACACAATCAACAACCGCGGATTCGGTAGTTCCTTAAACCCTGCCCTTGACATTGTTGAACTACAATATGTACCTAAGGATAAACCTGTCGGCTCATTGTTCAGAATGTGTATGGAGACCTTTAAGTATTTGGTAATCCCTTCAAGGTCTCACCTTGTTTATCCGTTTTGGTGTTTTCCTGATCACGAGATTGCGCTGCCCTTGACTCGATGAAACAAAGCATGAACTTAACCGTATCCATCTACATATTTGGCGCAATGTCAAGGTTACATCCTGCAGTGTAATCCTGACATACTCTCTATATATTACCGAATGTGCAAATGTGTAATCACCTGTATGTGTTATGTTCATCTTAAACAAGAACACATGGTATGATTGGTCACTTCCAGTTACTTATATGTCGATATCAAATAATCAGCATGTATCCCTTATTAAATTAATTATATTTGAAGGGCATACTGTTTCTATTACCAATATTTCCAGTGTGATAAATCACATGTGTGGGCGTTGGTTCATCATCAACTAATAAAATTACTTAGAAGGTAATAAACTTGCATTATATTAACTTATATTACCAAGCTACCACAGTTTCACAGTAACTGCATCAATGATTTAACGCGGTCAGTAGCCGAATCATACGTTTAGTATTCTATTTACCGGGTACAAAACATAACTATACACAGATAACTCCACAATGGCGTGAGTGACATGTTAACTGCCTAGCAGTAGAAAGCTTACTTAATTAACTAATCTAATCTCTGAAATGCTATTTCTAAATGTAATTTGGGGTTAAATGAGTTATGATATAAACCGACGAAACTCTTATCAACCCTAGATTTAAGTCTACCGCTATTTATCTTGGGAAGGAGGCTTACAGTTTGTAGGTATGTCTTTGACTTGTAGTGCTAAAAATGAGTCTAAATTGGGCTTTATAGTACGGTAAAAATAATCATTTGTTTGGATTTCTACATCAGAATGTGGATCTTTTAGATAAGTATTCTTCATATATTCTGGTGATGTCAGATTCGACCGTGTGACATCATCAGATCTAACCAACGTCAATGCCTACTTGTAGACTCTCTGAGTTGACATGTTTCGTGTTACATGTTATGCTATTTAAAGAATAAACTATCTGTAAAAATTTTGTAGCGTTGACAAGGATTTTATATTCCTGTATGCATATTTTCTCTTTATTTCGACATATGCTTCAGAATTCTGTAGACACGAGTCTAAATACCAGATAGGTGCTTCATTCTTCGTATTTTAGTGGCTACCTTTTGCCACGGGTTGGTAAAGTCTGCAGGTGAACGATAAGTCACCAAGGTTGGCCGTAAACGGGTTGCTGAGTTAATCCTAACAAATACGAGTTTAAGAAAGAATTACCGTTGCATCCAAAGGATGTAAATGAAAGGTTTAAAGTGATATATGGTTACCTTTCTTTTCACGCTATACATCTGCATGTTTGGGAATACTTCCTATATGGATGTTCATTCTGTCCATTGTTACCATTGATGAGCTCTGGTAGTAAAATGTTTACTTTCCATGGATTTCTGCATAGACAACCTGAATTTTTAAACAGGTTTATCGTTACTTCATATTCTGATAATTATTTCAGTCTATGTTAAAAATTTGTAAAACTACTTTTGTAATTTGATATTTAAGTATATGTTCTGTGATATTTGTGTGTACTTATGTAGAGATGTTTGCATTAAGCTATTGAAAATGCATGTAATTATTTATATTGGAGGAAAAAAAGAGAATAATAGACATTTCAAATGAAATATAGCCTATGAAATAACCAAAAC